CTACCGGAAAGCTGACCTGTACCCTCAGCTTACCCTAAAATTACTTAAAATCTCTATTATGTTTTTTATCCAGAGAAGGTTCATGAGCCATTTCTCTACTTTCTATCCTAAATTTTTTCCGCAAAACTATTTAAGTCTTTGGCCATGATAAATCAATCTGCAGACAAAATTTAATTGGCACTAGACATTTTTGAATTCATTTTAAAATGCTTTGGCATAGGTTTGAACTTGACTCTGTTTACCAGAACACTCTAAGATATCGAAATGATTGGAAAACGGAGCTAACAAACTTTTTTCAAACATTTCTAAGAATAAGTGACGTTATTTTGTAAGACTCTAATGTTTTCTTAGAACAAACCTGTATCGTACCAAGAACACGGTATTCAGCTGGAGAATGCACGTCGGTCAGGAGTTGGCCCAACATACGCTGTGTCCCAATGGGTTTTCGGCACCAAACCTAGTAGTAAACTCTCATTCAATCAACTTTTGCTCAACCTGGATCAATACTTTATGCTGAGTCATCTAATTCGCCTCCATTTTTCGTAAAAATAGAAAATCGAAAATTAGAAGATCTTGCCTGAGCAAAAGTTAAGAAGAAAAGCTGGTCCAATGTGAAACCCTGCAACAGTTCGTCAGGAAGCTGTAGATCTGGACCTTTAAGATTAACGTAGTTGCGATAAGCGCGGTAAGATGATTGAATGCCTGCAATAAAAGATTGACTTAAGTATAAGATTTCTTTTCAACGCATTATCTACTCCAACCTCCACTGTCAGCGATATTCTCGCCTTGAGTCATGGCACCATCTATGCATACAGTTCGATCAAAATTCTTCTCATTGAGAGGGCAAAAGTGGTTAAATTGATCCACCACACAGTTCGCCATGCCATTAAAGCCAAGCGTTGACGAATTATCCATCCAGCTGTTATTAGAGTTTTCTTAACTTTATCAATATAATTGGAAAATCAATTTTTCTTATCTGCCTACCCCTTAAGGATTCCTGTTCCATCCCATTGTACACCTTCATCGTCAAAGCCGTGTGTAAGCTCGTGTCCTGGGGTTATTTAGCGCAGAAATCAAGTTTCCAAAGATGAAATTCAAGCATACCGACAATCACTCCTAAACCTCCGAAGTTAGCAGCATCAGGCCATGATGGATCGTAGAAAGGATGGTGAAGTATAGCAGCAGGTAAAGTGATAGAATTGAGTTGTGGCTAAAGTTTACAAGTCTAGAATTAATTAAACATTGTCTGATAATCTCATAGAGTACAAATTTTAACAAAAAAATGCTTAATATTTTAACAGTTATTTCTCATCATCGGAAACAATAAAATTAAAATAACAATAATTCAAAGAGTCCTACTTATATATCTTCAATGAATATTTCATCAGACAGTTTCTAAAGTAAAATTAGATAAGTAGTTATATATATTAGGACCTACCTGATACCATGCATTGGTCGCCCCAGGAGGTCCGTTGAAATTTTCTCTATCGGTAGTTGCACCAAATAGTGAAT